AGGAAGAGCGCTCTGGAGGAGACGATGACGAAGAGTACACTCATCAGAGAGGCGATCTCCGCGAGCATCTCAACAGAAAGAGAAGCTCGTCCCTCCGAAAGGGACGATCTCCGACCTGCTCGCATAAGAGCTCCAACTAGCAGGCTGAGTCCTCCTACAACCCAATAACTCCCGCGGGAGTAATCACAAGGGAGAAGTTCGACCAGTTGAAGAGCAAGTTTGATGCTCAGGTTGAAGCCTTGAAGGCTACGTGCGAAAAGAAAGAGAGTCCGTTCGATGATGGCGACTTGGGGGAATCGCCATTCACCTCAGAAATCTTGGAGGCTCCAATCCCTCCGAAGTTCAAGACTCCCACCATGAAGCCTTATGACGGGTCTAAGGACCCAAAAGACTATGTTGAGGTCTTCGAAGGCCTCATGGATTTTCAGGTGGAAGCAGATGCAATCAAGTGCTGCGCCTTCCAGATCGCGCTTACCGACAGCGCGCGCCTATGGTATCGGAGACTGCCGGCCAGGTCGATCTCGACCTACTCCCAGTTGAGGAAAGAATTTATTAGCCAATTCTCTTTTCGGCACTACGATAGGAAGACAGCAACTCACCTCGCCACCATTACGCAGAAAGAAGGTGAGACGCTGAGAGAGTATGTCACAAGGTTCCAGGAGGAGCAGTTGAAGGTCGCGCACATCTCCGATGACTCGGCCATGTGCTACTTCCTCACCGGCCTGGCCGATGAAACCCTCGCCGTGAAGCTTGGAGAGGAGGCTCCAGCAACCTTCGTCGAAGTTTTGTAAAAGGCGAAGAAGGTCATTGATGGACAAGAGCTCCTCCGAACCAAGACTGGCCGACCTGAGAAGCAGATCGACCAGAAGAAGCCAAACCAAGAGAAGATGAAGGTTGATTCCAAATCTAAGGACAAGGGATCGCCCTCTTCCGGCAGCCGAACTGAGTATCGTAGGTCGGAAATCGGCCCTAACCGAAGCCGACTTTACGAACGTTATACTCCAACCACCATCCCCATCTCTTAGATACTTACAAACATCGAGGAAAGCGGGATGGAAAAGCTCATCAAGCGTCCTGACAAGCTCCGAGGAGACCCAAAAAAGCGTAATAAAGATAAATATTGTCGTTTTCATCGCGATCACTGCCATAATACATCAAATTGCTGGGAATTGAAGTGCCAGATTGAAGACCTCATTCAAGATGGCTACTTCAAAAAATTCGTTGGAAAACCGAGGTCCAACTCAGTGGAGAAGAAAGAAGAGAGGAAGCGTTCAAGGACGCCGCCTCGTCGAGATGACCGACCTATGGTCATCAACACTATCTTCGGGGGCCCTAGTGGGGGCCAGTCTGGAAATAAAAGGAAAGACCTAGCTCGCGAAGCCAAGCGTGAGGTATGCATCATCAGGGAGCAAAAACCGACTTGCTCCATTACCTTCAGCGACGCCGATCTGGAGGGGGTCCACTTGCCCCATAATGATGCACTTGTGATCACCCCTCTTATCGATCATGTCCTGGTCAGAAGAGTATTGGTAGATGGAGGCGCGTCTGCCAACATCTTGTCCCTTCCGACATATCTGGCCTTGGGATGGACCATGTCTCAGTTGAAGAAGAGTCCAACACCATTGGTTGGATTCTCTAGAGAATCGGTCTCTCTAGAAGGGTGTATCGACTTGCCGGTTACGATTGGGCAAGATGATACACAAGTAACTCAGATGGGCGAGTTTGTAGTGATCGACGGGAGGTCGGCCTACAACGCCATCTTCAGGAGACCCATCATCCATTCGTTCTAGGCCGTTCCCTCAACACTTCATCAAGTCCTGAAGTACTCAACTCCTAATGAGGTAGGCATAGTCTGAGGAGAGCAAAGGATGTCAAGGGAGTGCTATGCCTCAGCACTTAAAGGGTCATCGGTATGCATCCTCGAGAAACAAGTTGAACGAGTTGGAGAGCAAAGCCTAGAAGCCAACCTACCAAGGAAAGGAGGAAGGGAGTTTTCTGCACCAACAGAGGAGCTTGAGCTTGTTCCTTTACTTAGTCCTGAGAAGCGAGTAAGTATAGGAACCAAGCTATGGGCCATTGAGAGGGAAGAACTGATCAACTTCCTCAGGTCCAACTCGGATGTCTTCGCATGGTCTCACGAGGACATGCCAGGCATCGACCCAAAGATCATGGTGCATCGCCTCAATGTAGACCCGTCATTCCGACCTGTAAAGCAAAAAAGAAGACCTGTAAATAGGGAGAGAAGTGATGTAATTGTTAAGGAAGTAAACAAACTTTTAAAAGCTGAATATATAAGAGAAATTATGTATCCCGAGTGGCTCTCTAATGTTGTATTAATTAAAAAAGCTAACGGGAAGTAGAGGATGTGCGTAGATTTTACAAATTTAAATAAGGCATGCCCAAAAGACTGCTTCCCACTACCGAGGATTGACCAGCTCGTAGACGCAACGGTCGGGCACGAGCTGCTCATCTTCATGGATGCCTACTCCGGATACAACCAAATCAAAATGCATGTCCCAGATCAAGATCATACGACATTGTTACAAGGTTATGCCCTTCGGCCTAAACAATGCAGGGGCGACCTACCAAAAATTGGTGAACAAAATGTTCGTCAAGCAGATCGCCCGGAATATGAAAGTATATGTGGACGACATGCTTGTCAAGAGCAAGTAGTCAAAGTCGCATCTTTTCGATCTGGCCGAGGCGTTTGAAGTTCTCCGGAAATATCAAATGAAGCTCAATCCAGCCAAGTGTGCCTTTGGAGTCTCCTCGGGAAAGTTCCTTGGTTTTATGGTAAACAACCGGGGGATCGAAGCGAACCCAGAGAAGATAAAGGCCGTGCTCGAGATGGAGGCACCCAAGACTCTCAAGCAGCTTCAGTGCCTCAATGGCAGGATTGCAGCCCTGAATAGATTCGTTTCGAGGTCAACAGATAAGTTCCTTCCTTTCTTCAAAGTTTTAAGAAAGAAGGGACCGTTCGAGTGGACGGCAGAGTACGAGCAAGCACTGCGGCAGTTGAAAAACTATATTTGCTCGACACCTCTGCTAGCCAAGCTGTTGCTAGGAGACAAGCTCCACTTGTACCTGGCTGTGTCCGACAGCTCTGTCAGCTCGGCTCTAGTCAAACAAGAGGGAGTACGCTAGAGTCCCATTTATTACACCAGCAAAGCCATGACCGAAGCCGAGACCAGATAGCCTCAAATGAAGAAGCTGGCCCTCACCTTAGTTACCTCGGACCGAAGAATTAGGCCGTACTTCCAAGTGCATACCGTCGTGGTACTTACCAATTTGCCCCTGAAGAACATTTTCCATAAGCCAGAAACATCAGGGCGCCTGATGAAGTGGGCAATGGAGTTGAGCGAGTACGACATCCAGTTGGAACCCAGAACTGTGTTGAAGGGGCAAGCAGTGGCAGACTTCATCGCAGAGCTCATCCCACCATCTCAGTCGGTCGAATCTGACCTCCCGTGGACGATCTACGTTGACGGATCTTCCAATGAGAAGGGGTGCAGAGCAAGAATTCTCTTGCTCGCACCAAGTGGCATGCGGTTCGAGTACGCCCTGCGGTTCAACTTTCGAACTTCGAACAATGAGGCTGAGTACGAAGCACTTTTGGCAGGCCTACGTGTCGCCAAAGGGCTGGGGGTCGTCCACATCAAGGTCTTTAGTGACTCCTAGTTGGTCGTAAACCAGATTAGGGAGGAGTATCAAGCGAAAAACTTTCGGATGGAAAATTATTTAAGTAAAGTCAGATCGCACCTCGCCCAGTTCAAGACTTACGAGGTGAATCAAGTTCCAAGATCGGAAAATTCCAATGCGAATGCCTTAGCCAAATTGGCGTCAACATATCAAACCGACCTGGCCAGATCGATTGAGATCTTGGACAATCCCTCAATCTTGGAGCCAGATGTGATGGAGGTTGACACTGCAGCACCCTCGTGGATGGATCCAATCGTGGAGTTTATCAAAGGAAATCCGCCGCAAGATTCAAAGGAGCAAAAGAAGATGGCTCGGAAAGCAGCTTGGTTCATACTCCGAGATGGAGCGTTGTACCGACGTGGCTTCTCCCTGCCTCTGCTTAAGTGTGTAACTCCTGAAGAAGGGCTTTACATCCTTAGGGAAATCCATGAAGGAGTGTCTGGAAACCACTCTGGCGCCAGGTCGCTGTTGGCCAAGGTGGTTCAACAAGGGTATTATTGGCCCACTGTCGAGCAGGACGCAAAGCAATTTGTGAAAACCTGCGATAACTGCCAGCGCTTCACAAATATCATCCATCAACCTCCCGAACTGCTCACCCCCATCTCGGCCCCATGGCCATTCGCACAATGGGAAGTAGATATCATAGGTCATTTTTCTCTGGGCAAAGGGCAAACCAAGTTCGCCGTTGTCGCTGTGGACTACTTCACCAAGTGGCCCGAGGCCGAGGCGCTATCTCACATCACGGAGTCCAGAGTCACATCTTTCATATGGTCAAACATTGTATGCCGTTTAGGTATACCAAACGCTATTGTGACAGACAACGGAAAACAATTCGACAATGCAAAGTTCAAAGACTTCTACAGGAAGTTGGGCATAAGTCATCTCCATTCGTCCTCTACACATCCGAAAGCAAATGGGCAGGTTGATGCGATAAACAAAATTATAAAACGAGGACTCAAGCTGAGATTGGACTCCAGAAAAGGAAGATGGCCCGAGGAGCTACCCGAAGTATTGTGGTCATATCGGACTACCCCTAGAGAGTCAACTAGTGAAACCCCATTCTCCCTGGCCTTTGGCTCTGAAGCTGTCGTCCCAGTCGAGATCGGCATACCACGGACAAGGTAGAGTAGTACAAGTCAACAAGGAATGAGGAAGAACTACTCCTTAACCTTGATTTATTAGAAGAAAAAAGGGAAATGGCTCAGTTACGCTTAGTAGAGTATCAGAACAGAATGACCAGATATTACAACACCCGAGTTCGACCTCGAAATGTTCAGGTCGGACATTTGGTCTTAAGGAAGATTCAGGGTCATGTGGGCACCCTTGACCCAACTTGGGAGGGACCGTTCGAGGTTAAAGGCATAGTCCGACTTGGAACGTATATGCTGGCCGATCTGGAAGGAAATGTGCTTGCGCATCCATGAAATGTCAAAATGGTCCTAAAATGGACTTGTAAAAATTTTCAAGGGGCAGAACTTTAATAAACGGAGTTATTTAATTTCGTGACTCCGAGTTCGATCAGAAATTAAATGGGGGCCACGGACTCCCATAAGACTTATAAACCGGTAAGGTAAATGTAAAAATTGATTAAATTGAAACCTCAAAACCTACGGGTTCGAGGTGCGATGTGAATATTAATTAGGGACTCAAAATTCAACCATTTGAACGTTTAAGTTAAAGGTGCGATGTTAAAAGTTCAATCTTTTGGACTTCCGAGTTCGAAGAGAAATATTAAAGACCATAGAAGGAAACTCTCAAATTCAAACCCTAAAGTCAAATACAAGTAAAAGGGGCGATGTGAAAAGAGTTCATCCCAAATTCAATCCTTTAAGCTCACGAGTTAGAGGTGCGAGATTAAATTATGCATATAGGAGTTCGAATTTACAAAGGTAAGTTTAAAAGCTTAAGGAAAAAGCAATAAAAGAAAAGACAGAGCTTGGGGTGCAGAGGTGGAGAAAAGAAGATTTCATTGATTAATGAACAGAGCCAAGGCTTGTAGACCTTGCAGCTTTGCCCGAAGACTTACAAAAAAAAAAACCACACAACAACAAAAAACAAGCAAAATAGGCAGGTTTTAGCTACTTCCGAGGTGGGAGGATAGCTCTCCTTGAGAACGTAGAAGGTTGGTGACTGGGCGTTTATGCTGAACGCACGCACTAAGCGTGGTAACAATTATATAGATGCAAGCGCACACCTGTCAGAGTAATATAAAATGGATGGAGTATCCAAGTATCGATCCTCAAGGACTTCTAAATAATTTCCAAACTCTAAAGTTTTAAAGAATAGTGAATGTTGAAATGAGTGATTCTTGTAAAATGGGAAGCGGTCACAAATAATGGTTTTGGATTTGGGATTTGGACTTATAATGATAAAACCTAGCCCGAACTACTTCAAGTTAGCCAACAAAGAATCAAGGACATGCTAAGGACAATATG